ATGTAGATAAAAAAGAGAACTGCTGATTAGTTTGCAAAGGCATCTAGCTGTTATCTACATCATAACTGACTTAAAGCCATGATCATTATGTCTCAAACTCTCTTGATGCTGGTGCTTAAGGGATATTATTTGGTTTAGACCTTTATATGCTAAGTGAGAAAAAGACAAAAAAATTAATGTGTAATAGTTAATGTTAAAATAATTTTGATACTGGGGAGTATACCTAGGAGTACTAAACCACTGGGGTACATTTGCAGGTGTTTGATAAATATTTTGAGACACTTTCTCACTAGGCAGTACTCAATTTAGTGTTCATCCCACTTCTGCCTCCTGAGTTTCTAGGATTGAAAATATATCACCAAGCCTACCAATCTATTTTTCACAGCAAAATAATGGGAAAGTAAATGTGATTAAGAGAAAATGTATTATATTTGTAATATTTTGTTACTATCTGGGATAGCAATATAGAAAACATATCTTCCTAGTGATGTTAATAAGTAGAAATGAGCCTGGGGATTTAGCTCAGCGGCATAAGCACCTGCCCTGCAATCAGGCGGTCGTGAGTTCGATCCCTGGTACCGATAAAAATGAAAAAGACAAAAAAAAAAAATAGAAATGATTTTTAAAATACAGATTGCAGGAGACCAACTGGGATTCACACATACATGTTGGCAAAGTATGTTTCAAGTCATTTGTAACAAACATCAACATCAGACAGTGAACCTTATGAACAATGAAGAATAGCATTGAGAAGTACATCACTCCCACAGAAAAACCCCTGACACAATGTAAATTATAAATTTCAGCTTTTAATAGACTGAGTGGCACCTCTCATGATTTAGGTTTTCCTTACTTCCAATATTATAGCTAAGTAGATAAAAACAATAAAGATTACCAAAGATAGAATGGTATCACAGTATCAGGGGACAGAATAAGGCATTTGCTTTGTACATTTAATAGTGACTATACTCCCTGAAATACCTAGAGCTGAAAAACAATCTTTTAAAAGAAAGTGTTGCTTTTGATAAATTGTATCATCCTTTATTCTTTCTGGAGAGATTACTATAATTCATGATATCCTTTTGGAGACAAGTTACAGTCTTGTGGGATGCTGGCACTCAGAAACTTACAGCAGTGGTTTATTTTTGGGATATGTGTTGGAAAAATTCCCAGTAAATTAAATGTCATTGCAATATAAATATGAAACATAAAATTCTTGATGGTAAATTTTATAGAAGTGATAATATTGAAGATGAAACAAATCCAAAATTAGGCACATGACATAATCTACAGTGATGTATACATATAAGCAAGCATCCTGTCATGATATGAAAAACAAAATCTGCAAATGTATAACATGTGTCAAAATGATTCAACTTCATGAAAAACACATGTTCAACATCTAATGAAAATACTTAATATGAAAATAGCATCAAATTGAAAAATACATTTTGACACAACAAATACACAGAACATACACCAAAATTTAAAGCAAAAAGTGTGTAATCCGAACAATTTTTTTTGTTAGTGAGTCTCTCATGTATCTGACATGAACTACATATATTCATATACTTGATATTACATGTTTGTGCTGGGAGCACTTCAATATTACTTAAATACATAGGGTCTCACTCCAGTGAGTTTTATGTCTGTTTAATGTGAATTTAGCAGTAAATCCTCTTTCACATTGCTTACATATATAAGGTTTCTCTCCAGTGTGACTTTTTTGATGTTTTTGATGATACCCATATGTGGTAAAAACTTTCCCACACTGCTTACATAGGGTTTCTCCCCAGTGTGAATTTTTTCATGTATTTTACAATAATCCTGTGTAGTGAAAGCTCTACCACATTGCAAACATACATAAGTTTTCTGCCCAGAGTGATTTCTTTCATGTCTTTGGCAGTCATAGTGTCATCTAAAAGCTTCCCATATTGCTTACATATACAGGGTTTCTCCCATCTGAATTCTTTCATGTACTGTACATGCAATCAATCTGCTGAGCCCTTTCCCACATTGCTTACATATAGGGTTTCTGCCCAGTGAGAACTGTTTTATGTTTGTGAAAACTACATGTCATGAAAGCTTTCCCACATTGCTTACATACATAGGGTTTCTCTCCTGTGTGGGTTTTTCCATGAATTTGAATAGCATCACATGTCCTAAAAGGTTTCCCACACTGTTTACATACATAAGGTTTCTCCTCCATGTGAATTCTTTCATGTGTTCTCCAATGACTGTTTCTGCTGGAAGTTTTCCCACATTGCTTACATACATATGGATTCTCCCCAGTGTGTTTTCTTTCATGTATTTGATAAACACCGTGTGTGCTGAAAGCTTTCCCACAATTGCTCACATACATAGGGTTTTTCCATAATGTGAGCTCTTTCATGTATATGACAAGGAAGGTTCTACTCTCTGACCCTAGGTAGTTGATACCTATCTAGAATATCAATGATTGTTCTTCATCCCCTGAGAAAGTGTGTGGATACAGTCACTCTATCTTTTGTCTTGAGGTCTGGCCTTCAAGGAATGTAACTCCAAATACAGTTGTAGAGTATTTTCATCTACATAGCTCTTTCAAGGGCCTAGTCTAATCTGACCACCTATGATATTTCTAACATAACTAAAATAGCGGGACTATAACAATTATTTCAGAGATGACATCCCTTTCCATTCCCACTACTGCTGATATCTCATCTTTAAAGGCAACTGAATTAGATAGTAATATTATAGGCAGTTAGACAGGGCTATGCCTTCAAAAGAGACAGTGCAAAAGACTAGTTATTTTGCAACTTTGCATGAAACAGACACCTCCCAGTGTGGGCCAGACCTCAAGACAAAAGATCTAACAAATATACCTACATCATAAGGGTTGTTATTCTAAATAGATCTCTATCACCCTGGGTAAGCCAGGAGTGACCATCCCAAACCCCAACAGGAAGAGTCAGTGCTCTGTAAGCATGCCAGCCTGCTACCTGACTCACTTCCCCATTTGTCCCTGAGCAATTAGTTCTGTGCCACCTCATACCCACTTTGTGAGTTCCCATTTTTTCTCCACCTTAGACCTGCTTTTCTTTGTGGTTTTACTCCATAAATAAAGTCTCTAGAAAAGACAAGGTCTTTGGCAATCCTCTTGGGACCTCTTCTGTTTGTCTGTCTTTCTCAGAGGCTTTCTTTCTCTCAATAAATATTTTCTGCTCTTAACCTCCATTGTTCCTAAAATTTATTCTTCAAATTTAGAGGACATGAACTTGCTACTTGTACAGTAGGTTGAGGGTACTTGTATAGTAGGTTGGGAGTTTCTTTCCCCTATATCATCATGTACATGTAGATATGCCAGTTCAATGTTTCTTTGTATAGGTTTAACCAGCAACTCTTTTATTAAATTGTCCTCCGCAAGAACCACATCCCCTCTCTTAAGTTAATGTTAAGACATTAACATCCCTTCCATTTTTCTTAGCATTCTAAACTCTCTGGAAGACCTCATTTAAATAATCTAATTGTAATAAATAGTTGACTTACCAATCTTTGAACAAGCCACCTATCTAGTGAAAAGGGGCTGAGAAAGAGGGTTAATAAGCCATATTAATAATAATTAAAATAAGAATAGTAGTTGAACTACACACAGTGCACCCAGAATAAAATTTCTCAGAAAATATGGCTGCTACTTATTAAGCAACCAAGATTCTAAGCACTAAAAATGAAAACTAAACAGTTTTTCTCTAAAACCCCACTAACCACTTTTCCCCTAAAATTCTTTAAACTTTACATGGAAGTCTAAGTTCCAAATGGTCACTTTAAGTACAGAGTCATTTGTGATAAGTGGCTATTAAACAATGGTGCAATTACTGCAATTACTCTGGTTATATATAATTAGCTCTGGATTGAGTAGCCACATGATCACCCACTCAGGATACTTCAAAGGAATCTGGGAGCTCTTTTTATTTCCAATATAAAACTCTCATAATACACTTCATCTTCTTTAATTCCACAATATTCTGAGACCACAATCTCTCTTTTATCATTGTGTGTTGCGATGTGACATAAATAATTAAGGTGATATTTTTCAATGTTGCTGAGTAAGAAATGTAAGAATGAACTGCGTGCTTGGAAAAAAGCACTCCACCACTTAGTCATATCACCTGCAAGATTAAACTTTGCATTGAATTCTCATGGCCCTTCTCAATACATTATGAGTTTGGCAATGTGAGAAAATATTGGAAAAATGAGATAGTCACCGTAAATATAATAAGCAGAAGTCTGAGATCAGATATGTGAGGGAGACTCTGTTTTGCAGACATTTATAAATATCAAACCCTCCAGATATTTTACTAAAAGGAGAACAGAGAACTGGCATCCCACACGTGCACCTAGTTTCAACTCACACCTTAATCAGGATCCGTATTTCCTCCAAGACTGTTGGAAATGAAGCTGTGCCTGGGATCACCCAGGACACCATTGTGGACTGACAGTGTTATATTTGTTATAGCCTTGCTCTAACCATTGCGTCTCCTTCTTGTTCTATATGTTCCGTACAGCCCCCCTCCCCTTCCCATCTTTCTAGGTTAAGTTTCTATTTCCTGAAAAAGCTGTAAAAGCTTTAGGTTTCAGTTTCTTGTAACTCTCCTACCCCCTCATCTGGCTATCTATAATAAAATGTGCTGTTGTTTAAGAAATGCTTAACCTCAAGGAAATACGGAGAAGCCCAGATGCTATCTGTGTCAATGATTGCAACATTCCTGCGGTTTTCGGCTTTAAAAACTTAATCCCTTAGCTGTGAGGCACGCAGTCTCTGGGTGGATCCTAAGGAGGCTGTGTTGCCAGGCCTGAAAATAAAGCCTTTGCTTCCTTGGATTTTATTCCGGGTCAGAGCTATCACAATATTGGGGACAAGATGCAGGAAACGGTGATTCAGCAAAGGGAAAAGGGGACAAAAAGCAACAAATATCAGTGCCCAAGAGTCTGGAGCAAAGCAGGGAGACTGTAGTTCCGCATACCTGGTTTTGATCACTTTCTTTCAGACCTCACCCAGATTCCATCCCGTCCCCAGCTTCCGACCCGCAACATCAGCCTTGTGTGGTTCAGGATCTCCCAGAGTCCTTCCCAAGCAGCCTGCAGACTTTAAAAGTCACAAAACTATGTCTTTGGTAAGGGCTCTCAGAATTTGCTGTGGAAACGACTTCAGCGCAATAACATTAGAAGGACCTCCTACTTTGGGCAAACTGATTGGACAGTTCCTACAGCCCGCCTCTTTTTTGCTGATTGACGCCTGCTTCGTTGCTCCCCCTCTGCACCAACAGGAGAAACAAATCGCTGCCTGTTAAAGTGGAGCTAAATGACCCAAGAGACTTCTAGACCAGGCTTTTCTCTATAATAATTATATAATAATTATCCTCACCTGAAGGATACTTGCCATTAAGGGCTTTACAACTGACTTTTCAGATCAGCTCCTATTTTTTGAAGGACTCAATGTATTCTTAGTGAAAATGGGAAGATAATCAATATTTAGTAATGATACAACTGACTTTTCAGATTAGCTCCTATTTTCTTGAAGGACTCAATGTATTCTTAGTGAAAATGGGAAGATATCAATATTTAGTAATGAGGTAACAAGTTGCAGTGTCAAGATTTTAACACTGTCTATCTCAATCTTCATTTTCAGATAAGAAAATGAATATACATTTCCCAAAAGAAATATAATCATTCTGTACTACTATTTTTTTTTTTTTTGTATCAGGGATCGAACTCAAGACTGCGTGCTTGCAAGGCAGGTGCTTGTGCCACTGAGCTAAATCCCCAGCCCCAATTATTGTGTAAATGTAAAAAAGAATTTAATTATAGCAATATTCTTCAAAAGAGTAAAGACGACAGAAAGCCAAATATTCCAACTCCATTAAACAAGCTTCAGACTTCATCCAAGGTCATTTTTAAAAACCCTGAAATTGGAAGACAAACATAACCAGTGTGAAGGCCACAATAAATGCTGAAATGATGTCCCACATTTGTTCCATTTGGTCACTATCCAGTTTTGAGGCATGAATTTGTAATAACTTCAGACAGAAAGCTTTGCAGGCTAGTAGATTTTTCCTTGCAGGTTAAAATTCCTCACCCTTCCACATCAATACTTCTAGAAGGAAAATATGTGAAGCCATGTTATTTACAATTGGTTGGCTATACAGGACATTTATAAAGCACACTTCTTACTGTGTCTGGTTGAGTCATGCTAGTGTGACCAAATCTAGTTCCTAATATCTCCCTTTGAGGTTCCTTCTCTACTCTTTCTAGTGTCTGGTTCTCAGAAATTAGTTACCCTTTGTCTTCACTTGTGTTTACCATATTTCTGCTTTGAAACTAGTAAAATACAGACCACAATCTCTGAAACAATGAGACAAAATAAACCTAAAGTTCTTAAGTTCTGATGTTAAGTATTTTCCTCTGTAGCAATAACAACACAGCAATAACAACAGAAAGTATGTTAGGTATCTGTTCTAAATAAAGTCCAAACGTATCATTTTTGCATTCAGAGAACTACTTAAAAGAGTTTTCCTGTGTGACTCTTCATAGATTTCCATCATGTGCACATATATAAATCTGACTCCTGCATGTCTTTGTATTTCAAAAGTAGTTCTTCCGTTCATAATCTATTCTACATACAGGCAAAACTAACAATTCAAACAGGTATCTGGCCATGAACTCATGCTTAAAATAAACACACTGCTAAAGACCTCTGGACTTTTGCATGCTGGTAGAGGACTCCTTATAAACTACTGATTTCACTTGTAGGTGTTGACTCAGCAGAACCCATGAAAAATATCCACAAAAATGTAAAGATGTGTGTTATAACTTGAGCCCCGGTATAAAATCCAAGGAGGCAAGAGACCGAAAATTTAGTGGCAAAGGCTTTATTTCCAGGCCTGGCGACCAGTCTCCGGGAGCCAATTTGGAGACTGTCCCCTAGGAGCTGAAGGGAGGACTTTAAAAAGGGGCTGGAGGAAAGGGCGGGGGGAGAGAAACAAAGAAACCTGTAGAGCCATCAAACTTGTTGACCCGAGTCTGGAAACTGTATTGCTGTCCACTTAGCTCTGACAATCTAGGGAGTTTCTGGTGTTTTTTAAAAATTATTTCCATCCTGCAGACTGACATTATCTCAGAGTGGCACGTCTACAGCAATATTTGGAGAAGAAAGTGGACAGTTAATTATCTCAGGACAGCTTGTCTTCGCTAGTGAGTGCGAAGGGGTCACAAGTTATGAGACGCTGGAACTTAAGTTTTATGAAGACCTGATATCTAACTCATTTGATACATACAGAACAAAAGGAAAGCACCGATTGGGGTTTGGGCCATAGTATTACCCGGTAATTTGTTTAAGCTAAGCAGTTCTTAAAATTGGGGCAGGCTCATTTTACAACAGATCATCACCGGGTCAGGGGGAGGTCACCAGAAACCCAAATTTTTTATGGCCTAGATAGATAGGTGAGGGGAGAGGGAGGCAATAAGGCGCCATACAGAACAGAAAACGGCGGTAATGTGTCAAGGTCAGGGTAAAGGGTTAAACTCACACGCAAATCTCTCTGCACACAAGCAGGTTACTTTAAACAAATGTAAATTAATTGCCATTCTAGTTTTCCTTAGCTCTTTAGCAGAGAATAGAGGCTCCTAGCAGTGATTAACAACCCTTGTTAGCTTGTTTTAGCACAGCTTCTGTAGTTTGTAGAGAGCAACAATGGTTAACATATCAATTAGGTGAGATTCTTGCAATTCTTTACAGAGGAGAGTGTTGCTCAACAGATCAATTAGGTCCCTTAACATATCAGTTAGGGAAAAAGGATAAAACAAACACATTTAGTAAGCCCCTATACAGGTTTGCTATAATACACATATAACAAAGCTATTTTCTTAGGGTACAACAATGTGTACGACAATACTTTCTGGGAAAATACCCTAATAACCATGTATGTGCTAACACAATGTAACATCATGACAGTTCCATCTGCATGTACCCCAAAATTCACATATTATCTCTTCTATCTTGAAATTAACTCACCATCTCACTACTTCACCTGAAACACAAACACATATTTTTTAGGTATCATTTAAATGTTGACAATGCCAGATACCTCCTCTCAAACCTTGACATTGTTTTTCAACATTACTGGACAGCTATGGGCCCTTGGCTTACCTTACCACACTTTATTTCAAGTTTTCATGTACTGAACTGACTCTGAGGTTAAATCTAGCCATCATTCTACACATTCTAGTCATTTCCTTTGCTGAACTCTTGGACTCTCTTAAATACTCTTTTTCTTTCATGTATGCAACTTTTGTATATGGTTCAGGGGTTATAACATCTTTTAAAAAGTAGGGATTCATAAAGATAAATGTCATTTTATTAGAATGGAAAGTATCTCTTACTGTGTCATTTTTTACATATGTTTTGTAGGATGTCAAAATTGAATACCATCAAACATTTCTTATTTCATCAATACTATGTGATTGTTTCATTTCATGACATCTATGATTGCATTATTTTCATTTTTGTAAAATCTAAATGCAACGCTTTGCTTAGGTTTGAATCTTCCAAAAACTTCTAAATTTTAATTATTGATTCATATGTACTTAATATTTTCACTACCCTAACCATAACCTAATGTATATTTTACTTAAAGGACCTTCTCCAAATGAAAGAAAGCACCACTGTCGCTTCCAAGGGAAGCTATACAGTCATGCAAGACTGACTAATCAATGACACTTGCAAAAGAGCTGAGGCTCTGTAAGAGTCCAAAAAGTAACCCCTGAGCATCCTTACCTGACCTTAATACTATATGAGGTTAATTTTAATTAACATAGATGTTGCTTTACATAAAGCAAGAAAGTATCACCAAAAAGATACATAAAACTTAATAGTAATCTAGGCTAAATATCAAAGAGGTACCAAATCTTATATATTAGCCCCTGTGATAGCCTCCAGCTAAGCTTACAGTTTGTCACTACTGTGGTTCAATGATGTTAAAAAGCTATAGTAACAACTATGAGTTCAACAAAAATCTTTCAATTTCTTAGCTCAAATTATCTTTCAATAATAGAATCCTCAATACTCTTACAACTAAAAATTTTATGTGCACATAAGTAAATTTGTCTTTAAATAAGTAATTTACCTCAGATTAAAAGTTCTTTTAAAATAAAAATTTTGATAACCTCCTAATTGCCAAAAAGGGAGAAACTATGTCTGTTCCTAAATTAGAAATATATCACTTTTATTCCAATCAGTCTAAAAGAATGACATACAGCATATAGGCACAAAAATCTAAACTAAGACTGCTTTGGTTTACATCTGAGCTCCACTCTGTGGTAAGTGTATGATACTCAACAAGTATCATACACATATCAAGGGACCACCCAAGAGTGGTCCCTCGATGTCCAAGGATAATTGTTGCCAGGACTCTTGCAGACACTAAAATCTGCAGATGCTAAATGCCCTTATAGAAAATTGTGTAGTGTTTATACAGAGCCTATAAAGATTTTCCTGTAAAAATTAAGTCATTTCTAGATTATTTATCATACCTAAGACAATGTAAATGCTATGCAAAAATTGTTAAATTATATTGTTTAAAAATAACAAAAAGTTTGTATATATTCACTATCAAAAATTGCTTTTCGGATATTTTCAATCTGTGGAAATTTGAGATGTGGAACTTGAAAATATATAGCTTTAAAAATTTGAATGTTGATACAAAAATATTCTCTGATGGGCACTCCTGCTAAATTCTAGAACTCACAGTGATATCCCCTGACTGTTTCCCTACCAGTGCCCTCTCAGTGAAGAATCTGCTGGAGAGATTGATGACCAAATACCCCATGACTCCAGGCAAGGATGACTCCTGTCACTGTAGTGGATAATTGATGCAAAAAAATGGAGGAACAAAGACCAAATACCTCTCTGAAATGAAACAAAATAATTAAACTAATGGCCAGTTGATATATTTGCCTATATTTTTCTTATTATCTTCCTGCTGTTCTTGAGCTGAAGTCTTTGCACTCTTGATTACTATATATCTGTATTCATCTCCAATGATCAGTTTTGAATTGGGTCTTTGAATTTGGAGGTCCTCATGTTTTTCCATTTTTCTACATTCTAGATAGAGGTTCTTTGTCAAAGGGACAATTGGCAAATTTTTTTCCCAACCCACGAGTT